AGCGGTGGAGGCATGCGGGGGGTAGCGAGGGAGCCTCAGCAAGCACCCGGTAACATTTGTGGTGGTCCCTCGTAGAGTTTCGGGAGACACGGGCGTCACAGGATTTCTTTGCCACTTGCCGGAGCCCCAAATTGTGCTGTGAGCTGACACTGCAGGTGAGCATCACTCAGGGGTCTGTGTGTCCCCCCTCTCTGCCCGGATGGGGATGGGAAGGAACCTTGGTTCTGGCCATCCTGGATGGCCTCAGTAAATTGTGCAGCCCTTGGGGACTCCACTACCTCCTGTGCTTGACCAGGTCCTCCATGGGAAGGGAGTTGCAACCCCTCAGTAATGTTGCCTCTTCCTCTGTGCAGCCACTAAGACGATTCCCCCTGGATGCTGCCATCATCTTCTCTGACATCTTGGTGGTGCCCCAGGTAAGAGCCATGGCCAATGCCACATGGAACAGCAGCTGGTAACAGGGCAGAATTCAGGGCTGCTCCATTCCTGCTTCTCCATTCTCCCCTGTCCCCAGGCACTGGGCATGGAGGTTGTCATGGTCCCTGGCAAAGGACCCACATTCACAGAGCCCCTGAAGGAGGTGGAGGATCTGCTGAAACTGCGACAGAAGGTGGATGTCACAGCAGAGTTAGGTTACGTCTTCCAGGCCATCACACTGACACGGCACAGCCTGGAGGGCAAAGTGCCGCTCATCGGCTTCTCTGGGGCACCGGTAAGGAGCGTGACTCCTCTCTGTGGGTTTCCCTGATGGGCTCCTCTGCTGTCTGGTGTCAAACCAGCCATGGCACCCCCAGCTGTGAGTGCTACATGGGTGCGTAATGGGAGGCATTCAGTGCAGGAACAGCTGTGCCCCAGGCTCTGGGGTGCTCACAGGTCTTACCTTCAGCATCGTGACTGCGAACTTTGTGTCTTCTTTCATCTCCATCACTCTCCTCACTTCACTCCTCCCCACAGTGGACGCTCATGTCCTACATGATTGAAGGTGGTGGCTCCACTACAATGGCCAAGGCCAAGAGCTGGCTGTACCGTCACCCCGAGGCAAGCCACCGTCTGCTACGCCTGCTGGCTGATGTCATCATTGACTACCTGGTGGGGCAGGTGGCTGCTGGAGCGCAGGTGTGTCCTGGGGCAGTGTGGACAGGGCCAAGAAGGAAGGCAGGGGATAGGGAGCAGAGAGGATCCAGCATCTGGAAGGAGGAGGAGGAGGGACTGAGTTGCTGCTCTCCCAACCCCATGGGAAAGTGGTTGAGTTGCCATTCCTGGAAGTATTTGATAGACAAATAGACGTGGCACCTGGGGACACGCTTTACTGCTGGATTTGGCAGTGCTTGGTTGTTAGACTCAATGATCTTAAAGGTCTTTTCCAGCCTAAAGGAATCTGTGTCCCTGGCAGGCGCTCCAGCTGTTTGAGTCCCATGCAGGGCACCTGGGCCCAGAGCTGTTTCAGGACTTTGCCCTGCCTTACATCCGGGACATTGCCCAGGCTGTCAAGAGCAAGCTGAAGGAGGAGGCACTGCCCCTGGTGCCCATGGTGAGTCAGGGCTACCTGGATTGACCCTGACATCTGGGCACTGCTGGAGAGGGGTGCATCCCGTGGTGCCTGCTTCCCTCAGTCCAGCCTGTGGAGAGGTGTCTGAGCCACAGCAGTGGCTGCCCATCTCCTCCCTCCGCAGATCATCTTTGCCAAGGATGCACACTACGCCCTGCGTGACCTGGCCCATGCCGGTTACGAGGTCGTTGGTCTCGACTGGACCATCCGGCCCCAGGAAGCTCGGTAAGAGTCTGACTGAGGGCTCAGGTGTTTGGGCAGGATCCCAGACCAGGTACTCTGACCTCCTCCTCTGCCCTGAGGCATCCCAGGCCTGGACATTGCTGCTCCAAAGGTGGGGATAGTTGGGCCACCATGCTACAGCTTCTGAAGGCTGTGCTGAGGGGTCCTGGGTGTCCTGCGGTGGGGGCTGCAGGCACCTGGCTGCTCTCCGTCTCTCTATCACATGCAGCAACTCACCTGTTTCCTCCCTGCTGCAGTGCACAGATAGGAAAAGATGTCACCCTGCAAGGGAACCTGGATCCATGTGCTCTCTATGCACCCAAGGTGAGCCATGGCTAGTGCCAGCCACTCGGGCTAGTTCAAGCCTGTGTTAAAGGCCTTCTACCTCAGCTTTGCCACCTGCAGCACTGGCTCATGTCTCAGCATCCCCTCAGGCTAGCTGAGGGGGACTGGTGGGGGTGAAAAACCTGAGCTGGATTGGTCTGACACATGGTTTCCTACCATACCTACAGGAGAAGATTGGCGAGCTGGTGAAGAAGATGCTGGAGAGTTTTGGGACCCAACGCTATATTGCCAACCTAGGCCACGGCCTCTACCCTGACATGAACCCTGAACATGTGGGTGCCTTTGTGGAAGCCGTGCATGCTCATTCCCGTCATATCAACAAGCACAGCTGAGCCTGGGGCCTTGGGGACAGGACTCTGGTTTGGGCATAGTCACCCATGTTGTCACAGGGCTCACTTTAGGCTGGGCTGCAGCATTAAACCAGGACCTTCTCTGCAGCAGCCGTGTGGCTCTGGCTGGGGGGATGGGGAACTGGACAGCCCTGAAGGAGATGGGAAGGCATGGCAGACTGCTAGAGGAGCATGTGTGGTGAGGGGGAGCCCCTGAGCCCCATCCTGCAGGTCAAATGGGGAAACAGGGATGGCAGCAAATTGTGGAGGATGCCTCTCCCTGCCAGGCTGCAGTGTCCATGCTTGCAACAGAGGATGTGAGCCCAGGGCACAACAGCCATCTCCTGAGGATGGATGTGCTCAGGCCTGCAAGGGAAGGTGGGCTGCCTGAGGCTGGCAGGGTCACAGCCTGGGAGCTTGGGGTTCACAGCTCACCACTGGCAGAGACTCAGCATCAGCTGTCCCACAGTCCTGCTCCGGTTGAAATGGGCAATGTGTCCTCAACCCAGGGTAGTCTCAAGGGGCTGGGAGAGCCAGCAGGACTCACCTGGGAGAGACAGCTGGCAAAATGGCAGGAGAACCTCTGACACAGCACCACCAGCCCCCCGCCACACTGGCTGGGATGGCAACAGAGGCACCATGGCCCTCCTCCTCCAGCTCCCAAAGCCTCTTTAGGACCATCCCCCTGGTCCTAGAGTGTTCCCCTATGCGCACCTCCCCATCTCCTCTGATCCTCAGGGCCAAGCTTGCCTGGGGCTTAGCAAACACTGCAAAAAGCAGCCCAGGAACCCCGAGTTACAACTCCTTGCCACCCCATTCCACACTCAGCACACTCACTGTGGTCCAGGCTCGCAGCAGGATGGATCAAGACAGAGAAACGCTGGTCTAGCTGGCATGGGTAGGGCAGTGTCTCCAGCATGGGCAAGGACCTGCTAACGTACATGGCAGGGAGTTGCACCCAGAAGCAACCAGGGTGCCCTGTCCCTGCTCTGTTCCCCTCTTCAGGGCACAGGAGCTGGCTACCACAGGGGGCTGCAACACTGCACAAGTGTGGTGACCCCCCCGACATCAGAGAAAGGCAGGAAAGACACAGGCGGTAACGTTCATCCCTTTTATTATTAAACATCAGATGAAGAGGTCGCACACACACATACACGCACGCACGCAAAAAAAAAAAAAAAAAAAAAAAAGGGAAGGAAAAAAAGAGAGAAACAGACTGGTTGAAGACTGCTATTTTGGTGGCGACACAGACCGAGTACAATTGGGTTCCTGGCCAGAGCGCGGACACAAGTCACTTGCCAAAAAATTAAACCAGACAGCAGATAACTAACGTGCGTTCCCCAACTACAAGTCACCATCCAGACCGGCCCTGGCCCCCCCAGCCCTCCCAACCTGCTGGCAAAGAAATGAACCAAAACTGAAGAGCCACTGGCCCGGGGCTGGAGTGTGCCCCCAGCGCCGGGTGAGCTGGGACAGGCCCAGCCTTGGCTGCACCACGGAGCTGGAATGAGCTGGGAATGGTGCAGGAGGGTGACGCGGCTGCCCCTCCCTCCCCCGAAGGCAGCCCCGGTGCCCGCCCAGGCACTCACACCCTGCACCTGCCCTACGATGGGCCGAGTCCTCCATCGCCAGCATCTGCATGTGTCCGTGTGAGCATCGCCCCGAGTTCCTTTCCTTTGCTGGGCTGCTGCTCCTCCATCCATCTGTCCGTCCGTCTGTCCCAGGGCTGTGAGTCGAGTAGATGTTCGCCTCCCCCCCACACCCTTCTTGCTGCTGACGATGCCATGGGAACCTGAGAAATGTTCACGTGCCTCCTCCTCTTTTTGTCTGTGGTTTTGTGTGGGTTTTTTAAATAATAGTTTTAATAATAATAACAATAATAATAATAATAGCAATAATAAAAATAATCGCCCCAGCCCACAACAATTTCAAGTATCCCCCAAATAAAAGACAGAATTATAAATAATTATAACTTTACAATTTAATAATTGACACATATACTATAGTATTTACAGTATCATAAATGCTTTTTTTTTGTGTTACTTTTAGTAAGCAATCCCTGAGAACAGTTACTTTTACTTGTTTTTATTGAAGTATCTTCACAAATAGAGGAGTTTGCATGTCTCGGGCGGGCGGGAGAAGCGCTCTGCAAAGCCATTGCTTTTGGTGACGCGTGAGGTTCTAGTGTCGCAGGTTTCTTTGCTTGCTTTTTTTTCCTTTTTTTTTTTGTTTTGTTTTGTTTTGCTTCATTAAATTCCCCACTTAATTTTAAAGATTTTTCACTTTGCAACCTTCGTATCCCTCCAGCGACCACATCCTTCAGGAAAGAGGTATTAGATTTCCAGGTTAGCTTTTGGTATTGGCAAGGGAGGGCAGGGGGCTGAGTAAACCATCCTTTTTCCCCGTGGTTGCCTTTTGGTTTGTGCCCAAGGAATCTCTGGATCCTCTCAGTGTGTGAAATGGTTAAATCCAAGAAAGAGTAACACTAAAAGAAAAAAAAAAAAAAAAAGAAAGAAAACAAACAAAAAAAAAGAAAAAGAAACAGAAGACCAGAACAGAGCAGCCTCTGCCGATGGGGGGAAGCTGATCTCCACTTTCCTTCCTTCTTCTCTCCCGAGTCCCCTTGCTGCGGCCAGACCCTGCCAGTGAGCATGGCAGGAGCCGGGGCTCACCCAAACCGTTCTCGCACCAGCAGCATCAGTTTTTTCTTGCCTTTGTAGATTTGTTTAAGATTGTCAATGAATTGGGCGAACTGTATGTGCCCGTCCTGTGCCAGGAGGAAGGTCTCCCTGGCCTTGCTGAGGAACTCGATGAACTCCCCATAGTGCCGTGGGCTGATGTGGGTGAGCCGGGAGTGGGTGGTGTTGATGTAGGCGCTTATCGTGGCGTCCAGCAGCTGCCGCAGGGGGGCTTTGTCAGTGGACATCAGCTTCCCCGAGTTCCTGCGCCCAGGGATGCCGGCCAGCCCTGGCGCTGTCATGGTGCAGCGGCGAAGGATGTCCGAGAGCACCGTGGCACAGTGCACGCTCTTCACCACCAGCGGGATGATGGCCGCCAGCTCGTTTTTGCCCAGAGAGTGGCTCAAGGCGCAGGCCCAGAGCACATCATTGATGGCTGGGTGCGTGTCCTGGTTGTAGGCCAGGTTGAGATGAGTCATGGCCAAGGAGGCCAGTTTGAAGGCTCGGAGTGGGTAGCCCCGGTGCTCCATGTAGCGGGCGATGGTGAAGAGCTGGGTGTAGGTCATGCCGGTGGAGGCGGCGTCAATGACGATCTGGTAGGCGGTCTCGAAGGCGATGTGGTCCTTCTCGCAGAGGGTCAGGGCAGACAGGGCGCAGTTCTGGGGGTCCTTCATGGCGCACTGCAGGGCCAGGGTGCGGGCACAGCTGGCCAGCTCTTCCCGCTGTGGGTAGTCCAGGCTCAGGCGCAGGATGGTGTTGTGGGACATCACTGTGGCCGCCACAATGCTGGTGGCTTCCGTGGGAGTGAACAGTGAGTACCAGCTCTGCAGGATGCTCACCAGGGCCCTCACTCCTGCAAGAAAAGACCGGGGTCACAGCATATCCCAGGGACCTGACTGAATTTATGGGGCTCCTCTGAGACCCAGAGACAGGGCAAAAACAGCCCGGTCCCTCACTCTGCCCCAAGGGGGACAGGGCAGAGGGGGACAGGCAGAGGCCAACCCACACTGCCATGCTGCAGGGCACAGAGACCACCACTGGCCTTGGCCAGGTACAGGGCACCCATCCAAGTCTCAAAACTGGCCACTGCTGCAGTCCCAACCCTGTCAACTGGTGCTCTGAGGTAAATTTAGTTACCCAAGAAGAAATGAGAGACTCAGGAGAACTCAGATGCTCAGGACTAGGCATGACCCAAGGATCTCCATGCCCAGCCCTGCTCCCACTGCATGCAGGCCAGATCCCCCAGTGCACATGGAACTCACCCACTTCAGTAGCGCACGTCACCAGCCACCTCACCATCTCCCGCCGCCGCCAGTTGAGCGTGGACAGCGTCATGCGCATCACCTGAGAGGCAAACTTGGGGTGACTGGCTGCCCTGCAGGGCTCTAGTGAGGTCACCCAACAGAGCAGTGCTCCCCAAAAATCCCCCTGGTTCAACGGGCTACCACCTACCTGGCACTGCCTCACCTCCACCCAAACCACAGTGAGCACAGGGGTTTCCCAGGGCTGAGGTCCCCTGCTCAGGACCATGCAGGGATCAATTTACTCCATCCACAGGGGACACCTTGCTTGGCGAAGACCATAACCAGCACGGCTGCCACAGCAAGAGGGGCTGAAGGGCCACCAATATCCCCAGCATCATCCCATACCTGGAGCCCCAGTTCCAGCGCCACGTTGAGCAGTGTCGTGTCAGAGTTGCTGTCAGCTGGCGTAGCAATCTTGAATGCATCCTGAGCCAGCTTGAAGATCAAGGAGGAGGAGTGGATGTTTTTCTGGATGGCCTCCAGCACCGTGCGTAGGCGCAGCATGTCCCCTGGGAGCAAGCAAGAACGGTCAGATGGCTCAGACACCCCCCCAACTTGCCTTGGAGCCCCATCTCTTGCCTGCACCACAGCCAGCCCCTCTGGACACACACACAGAGGAACACACAGTGATGCTGGATCAGGCCCTGCAGTCCAACAGTCTAAAATGGAGCACCCTCCCCAGGAAGTGATACATCCTACAGCAAGCGTCCTCACTCGAGTTCATCCTCTCACAGAGAGGACAAACAAACCTGAGTGATCCCAGACACGTCCTGTCTTTAGTAGACATCTCCAGACACCTGGACGTTCCACCCTGGCTGCAAGTTTGACAGCTGTAGAGTAGCCTCTTCCCAGAAAAGGAGGGGCTTGGGGAGATGCCTAGTATTGCATGGCTGCAAAAACATCAGTCTTCATCCAGGAACATTAGGAAGAAGAGGAAAAGCTGTTTGCTGCACACACACTGTCTTGCCCAGCAAGTTCCCTCTGCAAGGCTGGGCTGGGTATACTCAGACTTGCTGCACCTTGGTCCTCCATGTCCCAGGTCAGGCACACAGCACTCACAACTGAGACAGGCTAAGCTGTCCCCAGAGAAGGGGGTTGGGGCACAGTACCCAATGGTGCTGCAGTACTCCTGCTACAGGAGGTTGTGGGTGCTAGGATATATGATGGCACCAGGAGATGGGGCAGGATCTTGGAAGAGGGACACATCAAGGCATATTAATATCATGATCTGCACCTATCCTCCTATCAGTGCCTGTGGGACACAGTGTGGGGAGTGGGACCTTTGGGATATGTGCAGACCAGAGGTTCTAACATGCCACATTAGGTTCCAGCTTCATTTCTACTCCCACTCATAGACTGAGCAGATGAACCTCATGCAAAGACAACCAAATCATGCACAGCAGTGAAAAACCCAGTGCTGCACCTGGACACACGGAGACATCTCGGGTGACTCATAGCTAAAGATATCACCTGCCACCCACCACAGCCGCTTGCATTGCCACCAAAATCCAAGCCTCCCTAAAATGGCTCGTAGGGGCGTGGGGAAGAGAGGCTGCAGGATCACACTGGGACATGCTGCAGCAGGGGAACACCTGAGGAAGGGGATAGTTGGAAAAACAAATGCAATCCAACAGCCCTACATCCCCAGCATAAAAACTTCATCCCATTAGGCACTGGAAGGGAGAAAAATACCTGAAGGATAAGCCAAGTACCAGCTCTTCATCTGAGCACTGCAAAACGGGCAGAACACCATCAGCCCTGGTAAAGCAGCCTAGAGGAAGAGGCTGGAAGGAGAGAAGAGGCTGCCAAGGCAGCAAGGTTGGAGCTTTCTGACAGCTCATTTCCCTTCCCTCTCACTGGGAAAGAAAAACATTCCCTGTCAGGGTGGCAGCACCAGGACATCAGAGGGCAGTGGTAACTGCTTGGCTCACTGACCCTCATGGGATACAAGACTCTTGCCACCCTGATGGGGTCGGTTTCTGGCCAGGAGGATGTCTCATGAAAAGCCTGTGCTCTCCTCCATAATAGTGCCTGGGCAGAAACTGAAGAGGTGCAAGAGACCAATGAGGTCTTTCACGAGCCCCTTGCAGCCGGGACCAAAGTGTCCTACCCAGCACTGCTGGTTCCATATCCAACAAAAGCCACTTTTGGTTTGGTGCACAGGGAGCTCTTCTCTCTCCCACAGCCCGTGCAGGATCATCACCACAGGGTGGAAGAGACAAAGCAGAGGTGAAAGGATAAACAGCTTCAAACTAAACCATGGCATGACCTCATGACATGCCTGGCAGGGACTGCTGGCCTGGCAGCTGGCTGTGCTGCAGAGCAGGCATGGTCCTGCATCATGTGGGGCACTACCCAGGACCTGCAGCACCATGGCTGCAAGGCCTGCCTGCACCTCACTGGAAATTCCCATCCTGCCTGGCTGGACCATGAGCCCTTTGGGACAAGAATCCCAGAAACCCCAGATTCTCAAGGCCAGCTCATCGTGCCCTGCCCAGAGCAGGTTGCTAGTGGGGCACCTCTGGGGCCAGTGGGGCACCCAGCCAGTCTCTGCCAGTGCCAGCAGAAGCAAGAGCTCCCTCCTCTCTCCAGGAAAAACTCTTCCATGCCCCTGAGCACCATCATCCCACCAACCCTGTCCCAGAACTACCCTGCCACCAACCTTTGGCTGCCGTGAGCATGGTGGAGGCGAGCTCACACTGCTGTGACTCCAGGTGCCCCAGGGTGAACCAGCGCGGGTACCTGCTGGGCACCACCGACACCAGGTGGTGAGGGTGAGTCACGTCGCCGGATGGGGCCGTGGTCTCCAGGACAGGCAACCTGAAGGGCAAGCAGGAGGAGGCACCATCAGAGCCCAGCCCAGCCCCAGCCTCACCTCCTGTCCCTGAGGTGCTGCCAAGGCGAGGCAGGGGCTGCCTGCAGGCAGCTGCCTGCAGCAATGCCTTTGAACACATCCTGCTGCTGTGCACGTGTGCGGCTCCCCAGGCTGCGTGCTCAGCACATGGGCACAGGGATCAATCTGAGACTGACTTGAAAGGGGGGAGAAAGATCCATGGAGTGATTTATAAACTTGTAAGGAAAAGCACAGACCTCAGAGAAAAATAAAAAGGAAGAAAAAAAAGTAAAATCCCTCCTCCCCTCCTGCTCCTTTCATGTCAAAGCACCCAGCAGAACTCCTGACAGTATCATCTGGTTCTTCTTAAAATGCTTGGTTATGATCAGAAGCAGCAGCACATTTCTCCAGGGCCTCTAGAGCCAGGTTAGGTTGCCTATTTTTGTGGGCACATCCAAAAGCTTGGAAAACCCGTGGGAGAAGCAAGACTGAAGAAGGGGAGCAGGATTCTCATGTCACCAGCCATGGTGACAAATCCTAAACCCCTGAGTTGGTGCTGGTGTTGCTAACTTGATGGCTAGTTATGCAGGAAGGAAACTGCAGCCAGGACATGAAGAGCTTCCAAATGTCTCTGCTATCCTCACTTGCAGGCCTGAGGTAACCACAGGGCAGCAAAAGCCCAACTTTTCCAGCCTTGGACACAGATACCCAAGACAGGGAGTCCTAGCTGGAAGCAGGGGATGGGCATTAACAGATGGCATCCCTGGGGCCCTCAGTCCTGTTCAATGGCCAGAGGTCTCAGGTCGGCCAGGACATGGTGTTTCCATACACCACAGAGGCCTTTGGCTGCTTATTAGGACTGGCTGCCTCCTGAGCAGCTCTTTCCAGAATAGGGGGATTTCAAACTTCCCCCCAGTGTTGGAGAGAGATGACCCATTCCATTTCACTGAGGAAATGCTGAAAAAAGGCAATGCTCTGGGCCAGGACTTATTTATAATGGTGGTAAGAGGGAGAGAGCACTGGGATGTTCTGGAGTTGACAGTGCTCCAAGCATTGACTTGTTTAGGAAATTCCAGCTTTTCCAAGACCCACCCAGTCCCTGTCAAAACAATACACAGGCTGATGTTTGAAGTGTGTCATGGACTGGGGAAGGAGATAGGGCAGCTCTCAGCATCAGCTGTTACCCCAGTCCCAGAGACAGAGATGGGTTTTAATGGAGAACAGCATGCAACTGTGTTCTCCACCTGGCTCTGTGACACCCTGGAGCCTGGGGCAAACCATCCACCCATCTGTGCCAGGATAACAGCCCTTGTTGCAGGCAGGGAGGGCTGCAGGGTGCCCGAGGCCTGGCAGACAGAAGGCAGATGACAGTCCTGTGTGTGCCTGGGACCTGCTCTGGCAGAGGATGTCCCTGTCACAGGGGCAGGCAGGTCCAGCCTGGAGCGAGTGGCTGGGTGGAGGGCTGGGCCAGCAGACATTATTGGACCCATACAAATCTGTACAAATGGAGTTTATAAACCAGGAATCACCCAAATGGAGAGCAGGAACCTCTTTGCACTGCTGCTGTGCCCAGTGGTCCTACACACTGCAAAAGATCCCATGGACAGCAAGCTCCAAGCCTGTCTCCACTCCCATCCTTGCTCTAAAGTTGCAAAGCATCCCAGCTTCCCAACAAGCACAGGAGAGAGGCAAAAAGGGGAGCAGAGACAGAATTAAACATGCACCAACCTCATGGCCCGCAAAGCCAGCTTGTATGCCAGGTCAGCATCGTGGGGCAGCAGGGCAGAGAACAGGTATTTGGCAAAGGTGTGCATGGGGACGCTCTCCCGGTGGATGACTTCTCCCAAGCCGCTGAAGGGACCACCTAGGCAGAAGCAGAGCCCATCAGCCATAATTAGCACAGCAGGATCCGTGGCTGGGGTCTGGACCACCCCAAAGCTCTGAGGATCTGCTGTTCAACTCCCTGTTACTCAAGTTGGATCCAGGGATGCTCTTTCCTTTTCTAAAAGAAAATAAGAAACTGAAGCCATGTGCTCAGCACCCTTCTCCATATTGCCTCTGACTTGGTCTTTTTCTAGGGATGCCAACAAACCCTTGCTTTTCCAGGTGATGGGGCAGAGCAGCCATCCTACAGGCTCTGCACCACATCCAGAGAGGAAGAAGCAGGATGTGCGTAAATTTTGAAAAAGGCACCTCAGAGATGTTACCAACACTCAGCTAAGACACAAAAGTCAGATAGATGAGCCAAGGCCCCACCTTCCAGCAGCAAGATGCACTGCTTCCGCAGGGTCTGCACCAGCACCGGGTCCAGCTCCAGGTCCTGCAGGCGGGCAATGATCTGCTCCTCATTGCGGCACACCTTGTCCTGGGCATAGAGGCCTTCGGGCATCACTCTCTGCTGACCCATCCCCGTCAGGGCCACCTCTAAGGCCAGGGACAGGTAGGACTCGTCACCGTCCTGGCTGCCGGTCACAACGGGCACATGTTGATACACTGGTGGTTTGGAGTCCCCAGCGTCTGAAAGGAGGGAGAGGAGATGCAGTGGGGTTACAAGAGTCTTCCCAGACAGCAGAATCATTGCAGAGAAAAATCTTTCATTTCAGAAGCAAGACCCACACTTCCCTTCCTGCCTGCTTTTGGTTACCCAGAAACGACAGATGAAAGCTCCCTGAGGGAGATGTGGGCTTCACCATCCTTTCCTGCTCTCACCAGGAGATGCAAGAGACCCAAGACATGTGCAACAGGGTGCACAGCTGACACCAGAGTCTTCCCTTGGACCTTCTCTGCTCTGGCTGCAAACCCTGGGGCTGAGAAAATTCTATTTCTCTCTACTCACTACCTTCCTTCTCTACAGTTCTGCCCTGGTGCTCCTGCCAAGGCCGAGAGGGGGGACTCAAGAGTCCAGGTGTCCAGAGCCCCAGATCTGCACCCACCTCAGCCACAGACACCGGGAAGGGATCCAGGAGGAACACTTGGTACCTGAAATTTCAAGGCAATTTTCCTCTTCTAATCTACAAGCTTCGGTCAGGGTGAGAAAGAGGCAGCCGATGGGGTTCAGAGGGTGGCCTACCCAGCCCTCCAGGTTGGTGATGGTTGTTGCTCCTCTCTGCAGCAGTTCTGGATAAAATAGAACAGTAAAAGTAAGGAATTTAAAGACAAGTTCTGCACCCAGAGAGGTTTCTGAGACCAGAGGACTTTTCTTATCCCACAACTTGCATCCAACAGGAACCTCTAGGGCCAACTCTGGCATGGTAGTTCATGAGGGCAAGAAGAAGCCACTCTGCACAGACAACTAAGGGAGCAGGCACAGACACAAAAAAAAAGGTGCCCCTAAGGCCAATAAGATGCAGAGACTCATTCTCTGTTCCAAGAGAACATGAGGGTCTGCATAGTCCCAAAGAAAAGGTCTATAATGCCAGACCTGCAGCTCATGGACCAATTTGCAATGGTAGCCTAAGTGTTCGTGAAACACAAGCAGAAATCTCTCCTGAGATGATCAAGACTTCCAGTGATTCTTAAAATGTCATCTTTTGGTGATCTCAAGCTGGCTGAGCTGGCAAGGACCAGGAGTCGCTGACCTTCAGCAGCACTGCAGTAACTGACCCCAGCTCCCTTCCAATTGCAACTGCAAAAGGAGGAACACTGGGCTTGTCTCCTGGTACATTGACTCAGGAAATGCAAGGTGGAAGTAGCACACACAGCCAGTTACTGCAGCTCAGCAGTCAGGCAGCTCCTCTTCAATGCAGGCATCTCTTGCCTTACAGGCAACCAGACACAGCAACAGTGGGAACAAGAACATCCCTACTGCAGCAGCCTGAAGACAGCATTTGGGCAGCTGTGTCCTGAGTATGTGGGTATCAACTCAACTTGGCTCAAGCAACTCAGTTTGTCTTCCTAGGACATAAGCAGTCCCCTGCAGCGCTGCCCATCTCTGCCACTCTGAATGGGGCAGCACAATTCTGTTACAGAATCACTAGGCTGGAAGAGACAGACCTTCAAGATCACCGAGTCTAACCCATGCCTTAACGCCTCAACTAAACCACTGAGTGCCACATCCAGTCTTCTCCTAAACACATCCAGGGATGGTGACTCCATCACCTCCCTGGGCAGCCCATTCCAGAACTTTATCACCCTTTCACAAAAAACTTCTTCCTAATACCCAACCTAGATTTCCCTTGACACAGCTTGAGACCGTGTCCTCTGGTTCTGTCAGTTGCTGCCTGGAGAAAGAGACCAACCACACCTGACTGCAGCCACCTTTCAGGGAGTTGTAGAGAGTGATAAGGTCACCCCTGAGTCTCCTTTTCTCCAGGCTAAACACCCCCAGCTGCCTCAGTTGTTCCTTACAGGGTTTGTGTTCCAAGCCCCTCACCAGACTCGTTGCCTCCTCTGGACACGCTCAAGTGTCTCAATGTCCTTCCCAAACTGAGGGGCCAGAACTGGACACAGCACTCGAGGTGTGGCCTCACCAGTGCCACACTGCTCCCTGCTCCTGCTGGCCACATTGTTCCTGATACAGGCCAGGATGGCCTTCTTGGCCACCAGGGCACACTGCTGGCTCACGTTCAGCTCGCTGTTGACCAGAACCCCCAGGTCCTTTCTGCCTGGGCACTGTCCAGCCACACCATCCCCAGCCTATAGTGTTGCAGGGGGTTATTGTGGCCAAAATGCAGCACTTGGCACTTGGACTTACTGAACTTCATCTTATTGGACTCTGCCCATCCATCAAACTGTTCCAGGTCTCTCTGCAGAGCCTCCTACCTTCCAATAGATTGACACATACTCCCAGCTTAGTGTCATCTGCAAATTTGCTAATGAAAGACTCAATCCCCTCATCCATGTCATCAATAAAAATATTGAACATAACTGGTCCCAGCACAGACCCCTGAGGGACACCCCTGGTGACTGGCCCCAGCTGAATGCGGCACCATTCACCACCACTCTCTGAGCCCAGCCATCCAGCCAGCTCCTAACCCAGCACAGAGTGCTCCTGTCCAAGCCATGGGCTGCAGCTTTTCCAGGAGTGTGCTGTGGGAGACAGTGTCAAAGACTTGCTGAAGTCCAGGTACACAACACCCACAGCCTTTCCTGCAGGTCACCTGGTCATGAAAGGAGACCTGGTCTCAAACATGACCTACCCCTCCTAAACCCATGCTGCCTGTACATGCTGTGTGATTACACTTAATATAAACTGTTCCATAGCCTTACCAGGTACTGAGGTCAGGCTAACTGGCCTATAATTACCAGGATCCTCCTTCCTACCCTTTTTGTGAATGGGTGTCACAATTGCCAGCTTCCAGACATTTGGGACCTCACCAGTGAGCCGGGACTGTTGGTAAATGATGGAGTGTGGCTTCATAAGCTCATCTGCCAGCTCCCTCATCACCCTGGGATGGATCCCGTCTGGGCCATGGATTTATGAACATCCAAGCAGCTCAGCAGTTCTCTGACTGCCTCCTCCTGGATAACAGGGGGACATTCTGCTCCCTGATACCATCTACCAGCCCAGGAGGACAGTTGTCCTGACAACAAGCCATCTTCCCACTAAAGACTGAGGCAAAGAAGGTGTTAAGCATTTCCACCTTCTCCTCATCTGCAGTTACTGAGTTCCCTCCCATCCAGTAGAGAACAAAGGTTGGTCTTACCCTTCCTTTTGCAGTTAACATATCTGTAAAAACATTTTTTTATTATCCTTTACAGAAGTTGCCAAATTAAGTTCGAACTGAGCTTTGACATCTCAAATTTTTTTTCCTACATGCCCTAGCAACCCCCTTAAATACTTCCTGAGACACCTGACCCTCCTTCCTAAGATGATACATCCTCGTTTTATTCCTAAGTCCCCTCAAAACATCGTTGCCCATCCAGGCTGGACGTTTGCCTCGTCAAAGTGGAAAAGATATTTCCAACCGAGATACCCCAGCCAAATGTCACAAGACACTTGTCACACAGCTCTCCTCATACCTTTCTTCTGATGCTTATATATTTCCAGCTGCCTTTGCTGCTGCAGTCGCAGGGTGTTGATGATAGCAACAGTGAGTCGGAGAGCCTCTCTGGGATAGCCGTGGGAGCGCAGCGCATCCACCCGAGCACAGGCTGTGGGGACGTGTTCTGCAAGGCAAGGAACAGGGGCATGGCTGAACCACAGGCATTGACAGGATGGCACTCATGGGCCGCCTTCTACTCACGTTCCCCACACCTGAGATAAATTCCTGCTTCCTATCTTGAATTCATCCCTTCCTCCCTGCTCCTGGAAAGGATGCCTACCAGGAATACTAACGGGACTCCTGCCACTTTCAACCCACAGCAGCCACGTCAGTACCTAAATCCCCACCTCCACAAAGTTTATCTAATGGCAGCATTTCCAACACACCATTGCTGCAGTACCACAGCTCCAACGCAGGCTGTTACAGCCCTGCCGCTCATTTCTCCTAAAATCTGCATGGCCTATCTCGATTTCTCTCACTGCTCTTGGGGCACAGGGTGAGGCTGGGCATCCAGCACTGTGCTGGGGGCACTGGCAGACTTGGGGTGATGCTTTGAACTGACTCCTTAACACCTCCATGGAGGGAGCTCTGCAGACATCCTGTCTCTTCTGCAGTTCTCCTACCTGGTGTTTTATTATTAGGAACAGTTGCACTAAACCCCCTCCCAAGACTCGCAGTTGCTTAGGAATTCATCTGCTCCCGCTGCTTATTGCTCACCTGAAATCACAAGCAACTGTGGAGAGGATTATGACTGAGTGAGAAATTAGCAGGAGCAGATGACATGACATGCTGCATAACAAGCAGCAAAAATTCCATTTTCTTTCAAAATGTCCTACCAAGGGGAGAAAAAAACCCAGGCAAACACAGATGATCTGAAGTTATCATAGAGGGATAATTTCTATTCCTGGAAGACTTCAGAAAGCTCTGGAAATGCAGACAACCACCTCCACAAATGGGGTATCCACATCCCAAAGGTCACCCACAAGGAATACATGAGGAGGAGATTTCAGAACAAACACATCTGTAAAAGAGCTTCTTGTTGCTCCCTCTATTCATTTGCTAAATGGATGAAATATTCATCTTCTCAGTGAATTCATCACGGGAAGTTGCTGACAAATCACCCTCTTCTCCCAGCACTGGGTCCCTGAAGAGGTGCCAAGAAAGCAAAAGCGCAAAATCCAAAAATCATGGCAAATACATCAGAAAAATAACATGCACCAACCAGCTAGGAAAAAGGGCTCACCAGAACCCAGATTAGGCTCAGGAGAGGGGAGCTGTGGCCACCATATCCCTTCTAGATGGAGTCCATGGATGCATTAACCCACCACTGCTGCCTGTGGCTGTGTGGGAAGGGGCCCTCCTGCCTGCAGCTGCCCAGAACTCTTCCCAGAGCAGAAATATCCTCTCCTGCTCCAGGTAAAGTGTACCAACAGCCTACATATGAGCCCTTCCTATCTCCTGGCAATAGCAGCAACTTAGTGCCTACTACTCCAGAAACTACATCTCTAGACAACTTTAAATATTCTCTTTCCTTGTGGCAGACCCCAGCTTCTGGAGTGGACAACAGTGCAATGGTGGGCTTTGACCTGTTCTGTGCTCATATACTCAACTCCTGGACTGCAGGGGCTAAGTAATTCCCCCTTCCTGGAGGTGGGTGGGGACTTGTGTCCCCCATTTTGGGGTCTGTCTTAGGGCTGACAGCCACACCAGGTTTCCCCCCTGCCCCCCAAGCCCTTCATGTCACTCGTTCTCATCCCAGACAAGGAACTGTAGAGGGTCCACAGATCTGCCTGGGCTCATGACTTTGCAGGAGAGAATTTGTGTGGCTTGAGGTACTTGGGCTAAAAGTCTACAACAGAGGAGGCCTCTGGGCTTGCCTGGCCCAGTACACCTTAAGTTCCCATGAGGCTTAATCGTACTGACTGCTAATTGCCTTTAAGAGAAGACTAACAAGAAGGGGAGAGCAGGAAACAGAAAATCTGGAGGATACAGCTGTGCTTTGCAGTCAATTTTCAAGAGACTTTAAGTGTCCAGACCCTCTGTAGTGGAAACAATGAGAGGTTGCTCTGGGGACAGCTAAACACTGGCAGGATGAAAAGGGACATGATGAGCTTGGTCCAAACTGCCCAAGAGAAGGCCAGACTGTAAATATGTGGAGATTGCTCTAAGGATTGTGGCTGGGGTGTGGGTGGGCACTGAATTCTTCTGCTCCCCCCACTCCTCAGGCTAAGGGCCAGGGTAGCAATTGCAGTCAAGGATGCAGGAATTGCAAGGACCCAGGGCAGCCTCAGGTGACTCCTTTCCATTAGAAACCCAACCCACACAGGCCATGAGAGGGGCTGCTGGTTTAGATGCTCACCCAGCCACAGTGGCTGTCCCTGGGAGTTGAAGAGGAGGCTCTCCCCCTCCCGCTGGTAGGAGGGGGACACGTAGAAGTCGCTGCTGATGATGCGCTGCAGGTGGCTGTCCTGCCAGTGCAGGTCACAGCCCTCGATGGCCCGCGTGAACACCGTTCGTCTGGGCCTGGCCAGGGAGTCTGCAAAGAGAAAAACATCAGTGCCCTGCTGGGGCAGGAAGAGCCTGTTCCTCCTCCCAGACATGACCTCCCTGGGCACAGCTCTGCCTTTACAATGACAGCAAAACCTGGTCTCACCCCAGTAATTTCTGGGATGGACATGGGCTCTGGCTTTGGATGCCTCTCCTGACTAATGTCTCCTCAGATGGCATTGCTAAGTAATTTGCTAGAATAGCTGACTTGGTCAGAGGGGTGAGAAAAGAGGCAGGCACCACCCACCCATTTTTTGTGACCACAATCCACTGTCACACACAAGGCTGATGCCTTGAAACCTGGCAGTGTGCTCCCTCCCCTGTGACACTGAGCACGCAGGCAGCTGCCCCTGGGTCAGGACTGGGCTTCCTCAGCATTACTGCCCTGCAAGCACCATGAGCTCTCCTCCTCTGCTCCAACACAGTCTCAGCTTCACTGAAGTGCAGCTTCTTAGATCAGCAGCACATGAAGCCACGAAGGGAACCACACAAGTGTGTCTCAGCTGCTCCCAGTGACTGGGGGAACAACCCACCACCCCCAGCAGCCTCTGTGGGCCTTGTGAGAGGGCTGGAAGGGAGGAGACAGCATCATCTGAAATCCCACTGCTGCCCTGCACCAGATATCTGCTCCTCTTCAGAGCTGCTCTGTAACTTCATGGGCATTTCTGAAACTGAAATACTAATCCAAATGCTGGATTAGTATTTCACCCCATCCAGACCAATCAAGACAAGTGGTTTGATGTGAGGAAAAAACCTGTCTGGAGCAATCCCACTATCACTCCAGCCACACTGGATCATGAAGGCCAAACACAGCTGGCAGGCTGCAAAATGGGAAGTCCCAAAGGGGGTGCAACGTTCCATGTAAGGTCCTGCAACCCACAAGAGGGGCTGAGTTAAATGCATTCAAGGGTGGAAACAAAAGGCACTGTTCAAAGCTGATCCAGGGAGGCTGGGTAAACATGCTCCGGAAACGATGGCAACAAGCAATTAGCCGGAATGCTGCAGGCACCCTGAGGTGGAGAGAAATTAAACAGGTGTTTGTATGTTGGGAACCAAGGCTGCTCACTTTACCAGGAAGGATTTCAAGAATCAGCTGTTCTTCAGTAATAAAAGAGGCTGTCAACAATCTGGAGCAGTATTTGCATATGCACAAACATGAACCCCAGGACACCTCCAGGATCTGGGCTGCTTTCAGTCCCCTTCTTGGAGAGGCAGGAGCACAGGGAGAAGAGAAGGGGACATCCCTGGCATGTGCTTTGGGAACCCCTTGCAGGTCTAAAAAAAATGACCTGTTCAGCCCCAGCAACCTTCCCCAAATGCCAGAGCAAATCCTTGGGAGAGCTGGGAACACCAAGGGGTAGTCCTGGGACTGATGCAGGACATGGAGCAAGGCCAGGTTTAAATTAAGCTGCTCCCTGAGGAAGAGCATAGGGAGGCCGGGCATGTGGTCCTGGCCATGGCTGGCGTGGTTGGCAGGACAGCCACGCTCCCAAACTGCTGCTGCAGGACCAACCCCACCCTGAAGAATGAAGTTTCCCCTGTGGCATGGCTGCTGTCCCCCTCTCCTCCACCCACTTTGGCCACACATAATACACCCAAGAGCAATTCCAGTGCAGCAGACAGAGGCATGTGAAGAGCAGTAACTTTCAATTAATGTCTACTTCAGGCAAAAGGAAAGAGTGCTTAAACTTAAAGGGATCAAATGCTTTGTCAGCGGTTGAGAAACTATTTTAGCACTAAGGAACAATCCCTTAACTACATCGCTCTGTCTGTGCTCTGCACTTGAACTGCGTTAACATTCCTGGCTAATGACTTCCCTACCACCTGAATCACAGCCTTTAAGTGAGGCTTAAGGGCAGGGAAATGGGCTCTGCACCATCTCCAGCTCCTCACTCTCACACTACAGCCAGGACTTCGGAGCTCAGCTCTGCTCTGTGGCAAGCAATTCTGTTTTCTTGTATTACTCCATGCCCAAACCTGCACTAAACTACCCCAAAGTCAAACTGCTTTAGAACAGTCTCTAAACTCAAAACACAGGCAACTTTACCCTCTAGCAAAGAAGCAAACATTTATATATAAAACCAGAGGCTGTGAAGACAAGTATTTTGTGTTCCTATGACTCGCAGAAGCATAACCAGCAGCTCAAGCGAGTTCTCTCAGCTTTGGGGTGAGTTTTGACCTGGACCCAACCCCTGTGGCTGTCAGCTGGATTTCCACTCCCTACCCAGACTCACCTTGGCTGTGACCGGAGCTCTGCGTAAGCGCGTTAGTGATGTTGGGAAGCTCGTTACCATAATTGCCATCTTCCAGGGGACAGACGTCCATCTCACCCCACTTGCGCAGCTGCCGGAGCCAGCAGGATTTCTCTTCCAGCTTGCAGTGTGGGTTTAACACCACACACACCCACAGGGCCCCTAAACAAAGCCAAGAAATCACGGAGCTGCCACCGCCATGCGTGTGGGGCAAAGCTCTCCAGCCGCCCCGAGAGTCTGCAAGGTTCCATCGAGGTTTGTAAACTCATTTCAGCATAATGCAGAGACCCAGGAGGGGGATTTACACAGCTTCTAAATAAGGAGGAAATTAACTCTATCCCAGCTGAAACCAGGACAAAGTAAAACTCCTTTGTAATGAAGCTAAATTATAATCTCATGAGATGGGGGACAGTGGGGAGGAGGGAGGGAGAGAACGGCTGTGTATGAATTTGTGAGTGCTTCTGTCTGCCAGGACAAATCTAGTGTTTGAACTACACATCAAAGCATGCTTAAAAACACCCTGGCAAGCTGCAGAGTCTGCATCTCCAAAGACTAACCTGATTTTGATCCTACCCACGTTCCAAGCGCTTTAAAACCCGCTCTGAATGCCATTTCATCTGCTATTGTTCTTCAGGCCATTTGCATTCAACTATTTAAAAAGGAGATTTGGTGTATTTTCTTTCTTTTTTTTTTTTTCTTTTTCAATCCCTACTAGCCCCAAGCCTGCAGAGGAACCAGCAGAGGAACCTGGAGCTTGGCTTGATGTCTTGCAGAAAAGAGCCCTCCCTTTGGAGTCCTTTGGATCTCACAAGCCAAGCTGCTCACCAGCAGGACACCCACACTGACACCCTCTGGGTCAAGCACGGGACCTCACATGATGCTGGTGATGCTGTCTGCTGTGTGAGAGACAAAACCAGAACCAAGGACATCTGTCATCATTAAGATCCAGCTCATCCTTTCATAAAACAGGGCTGATGCTGGTGCTGCTAACTGAGCCTTACAGACTATTCCGAGTCACTCACTGCCCCAATAAGGGCTACAGCAACCTGAGTAAGTGTAAACCCGTTAATTTTTCTTTAGCTAACTCCATTTCTACCCAAATTTCCCTGCATAGCTGCCAGGATGTAGCATGTCCCCTCCCTTGTGCTTCCCTGCAGGGTGGGATGGCTGTAGGCTGACACAGCTGCAATATGAGGTATCCCCAGGGATCCCCTCAGGCTGAGCAGCTCCTGCTGCTTCTCTCTCTGTCCATGTCAAATCCTGTCACACACGTGGGATAGTTCAGCATCCTGCAGAAACACCCTCTCTGCCTCTCCTCCATGGGCTCAGCAAAGCCCTGGAGCACCTTCCTTCTCCCTGCTGTCACCTCTCCATCACTCCCAGAGCCAAGGTTCCCATCCCAAAGTGACAGCCAGTGGCACAGCAACATCACCCAACATGCCTCCACTGCACAAGGAGATTCCTCCACAAGCCCCAACCACCTCCCTCGCTGGCTGTGTTTTGAGCAGCAGCTCCCCAGCCCTGCCATTGAGCCAAACAGCCCCAAGCAAGGCTGCAGATCCAACAGGAGCCAGAGCAGCTGGTCCCTCTGCCAGACAACATGAGGCAAACCCAGGCTGAGCAGCGATGTCCTGGCCCTGGCTCCACTCTGGTGCCTCTCTGCATTACAGCTGAGTTTCAGTGGTGCTTTTGGGGTGCATGGCCCCTGACCAATCCTTTGCCAGCTGGAGCTTGTGGACATGTCTGGTTCAAATCATTAGTAAGGCATGGAGGCTGTGCCTGTCTGGCTCCTTGGAGCTGCCTGGCTCGGCAGGACAGACGTCACCGCGTCACAACGCAGATGGCGGCAGCAGCATCACATCCAGGAATGGGCACGGGAAAAGCAATTGCAGGCACGAGCATCAGCAAATGTCCAAAGCAGCCCTTGCCCAGTTCAGCTCAATCTCTGCCCCCAGGAAAGCCCACCAACACCTCACTTTTTTCTGATGAACAGGGGGGATTCAGATTTTTGAGCTGCAACATCAGCAATTAATTAATGTGTAAAAGAGGTACCTCCTTGGGGGCCCATCCTTACCAGAGTAGGTCTATGTCACTCACTCACAGGCTCCTGCAGGTTCCATGGGGGATACTCAGACATGGCATCTTTATAAAAATCAGGTCTCAGCTCCAGAAAATGAGTCTTCCTTAAGGAAGGGGATAGAACTTCCCACCTCCTCGGGTGGCCATGAGATAAAACCTGCACTCGACTCTGGGTGTCAGGCATTCCCTTCCCACCAGTGCTCCCGCCTGTTGTCACTGCTCTTCGCCCACTTTGGGGGTGCTTGTGTCAAAAGCAGCCTCGGGCAGTTTCAACTCACGCCTCTGAGGGTGCACAGATCTTGGCTGACAGGCAGTAACAAGGCTTGGTGCTCCAGCTTCACCGCCCCCAGGAATGGGATGCACCCGCTGGATTTTTGGCTCCCACAGCTCTGCTAATATGCGTTCCTCGGAAGCCTCATGACTTTGCTGCCTATTTTTGAGAGCCCTCTGAGGCATCCTTTGCATGCCAAAACATTATGCCCCTGGGCTCTCCTGCAGAAAGAACGGGGAGGTGGGAACTAGGAGGGAAGTGAGATTTGCATCTGTCTCAGTCATGATAATTATCTGGGAGATATAACAGAGTGGTTTTCTGAGCCCTGTGGTCAAGTGACATCAGCTGACAGCACAAGTGACTCCTGTCCTGAGCCGAAATGCCACACCAGGTCAGACTCCATGTCTCTTCGCATGCTGCAGAAACCTTCATCTGAACTTTCTGATAGCAGGAGGTTAAGTGGGGAACAAAGCAGCAGATCACGATTAAGCTAAGCCTCTAAACAAAAATGCTTTTTGATGACGGGGCTGGGTGCAGGGACAGGGGGGGTCAGAGCCTTCCCAGCTCAGTGGTCCTGGCTGCAGGCCCCAGAGCAGACAGGCGCTCCGATCCCGCGCCCAAGTTTCCCAACCATCAAAGAAATTCTCCCGTTTCCCACAGGGTCACTCCCCAGCTTAATCTCCTGAAATTCCCCACTGTAAACAAGTGGCCGAGATAAATAAACCCGTCTCCAGGCAGATTAAGGTCAGGCTGCACTTCAGCTGGTTTTTCGTCTATTTTTTGTAATTAGGCTTTAATCGTAAGTACTAATGCGCCAGGGCAAATACTCCCACGCTGCTGAGCTCTCCATCCAGCAGGTCCTTCCTCTGGCTCCCCAGCAGACGGGGCAATAGAGGTTCAGTTGGCAGCACATGCACAAGCAAACCATCCCGTTTTTATTTTCATTTCCTTTTTTTTTTTATAACTCTGAAATCCTGCAAAATCCTTTACATTTTCCCCAGCATAAATCCACAATCTTCTTTAAGGCTGATCTTCTTCCAATCCCACGCAAGTCTGTGATGCAGTCTTTGCTAAAATCGATGATTAATTATTAAACACGTGCCCAAAATAATTTCCAAAAGGCCCTTTTTTTGCTTCTAAGTAGTGGAGGATTGTGGTCTGTGCCAGGGCTTTCCGTGGCAGCTGGCAACAGGCTCCTCATCCCTCCCTTCAGCAGTAATGGTAATACTGGCAGCTTTGGCATCCACAGCCAATAGGCAGTGGGATGTGGTGCTTCCACTGCCCCGTGTGCCCTGGCTACTGTTACCCACCCAGGGATGGTTTAGGACACTGCTCTGCATTCCTGATGTTTGTTACTCGTGAACACCCCCAACTCCGAGCAGCTCTGGTCTCTGTGCCTCCACACCTCCTTCAGAGATATGCTCTGCTCCTACAGTAAACACTGCACAAGGCCAAATGCAAAAGGCTTCTGTAAAATGAAGGAATAATCCCTGCTTTGAGTACAATCCATGCCCATTCTGGAATTGCTTCTTGGAACATCACTGTGTCCTCTACAGGAGCTTCTCTTCAGCATGGAGATGCCCAGACCCTCACGTGTGACATGCCTCTGCCAGGAGAGCTGCTCTGACGTGTGTTGGCTGGCACCACACTTCCCCTGCTGTCGTGTTGATCCAGCACTGGAAGGGCCCTGACATTCCCCAGCCACTTTGCCATCTGCCAACAGGGACGTGCTGCCACCTCCTCCCACTCTGCCGACCAAACCTGCGTCCACCAACCTGGTCCTTGTACAGTTAAGCCAGGACTGAAACCCAACCACCCTCCCCTCGCCTGTGCAGGAAGGGAGGGAGGGCTCTCGGCTTGGATAGCAGCTTGGAAATCTGGCCAAATAATCTGTAATTTTAAGCAAATTGCTTCCTGCGTCCAGGCCTGCCCACACACCCATCCATTCATATATCACCAGTGTGCTTGCTTTCTTCCATGTGGAAATTCTGGCTTGGTGGACTTGGCCACCTCTCCAGGATCCTTGCATATCCAATTGTCTAGCTGCAGCATCCCAAAATCCTGGAAATATCTTCTTGGCAAGCAAGCACAGATGAGCTCTCCAGAGCTGGTGTGGTTATTTCCATCCAGGAAACTTCATACAGAAACAAGACATCCCACCCCTGCCCAGATCTTGTCTGTATAGTTTGGCCAGGGTTCCCAGCCTCATTTCTGTTTGCATTTGTTGGGCACTTGGTAGGTGGGTTTGTGATTTCCAGCTGCAGTTTCAGATGTTCCAGATCCCAGACCATTCTAATCCTTCTTCCAGCTCTACCATATCCCTTTGGTGCCAGCCCATCCGCCCCTACCCTTGGAGCAGTATCTCCTACCAGAAGGCTGCAGAGGAGCTCAAACACACTCATCAAACTATGGCTCAAGCCAAACTATTCACCCAAGGTCCCATATATCCAGGAGGGCCCAGAATTGCAGGGTTAACTTCACCACACAGCCCTACTCCCCAAGCCCACGTCATCTAAATGTTTTATTCTAATGATATTACAGTGTCAGCCAGCTGAGCTGGTGTCTAAGGTGCTTAGCTAGAATTACCCAGAACTGCATTTCCCTCACAGCCAGGCTCTGTGCTGCCTATCCTGCCCCCCTCACCCTGGAAACAAGCACCACAGCAGGCAGAATCTGTTAGATGTGATGAGACTTGAGAACACGCCTTTCCCTCTCTGGACCAAGGTTCCCCCAGGAACAGAACTTCTACATCCTGGCCACATCCAGCACCTGGGGCTCACCAGCCCTGTGTCCTCCCTCACAAAGGCTTTGGGGCAGCTCACCAAACACCAGCCTGCTGGAAGCATAGGACCAGCAACACACTGCACACTCGTCATCCTTGATCCTTTTGCAGGAGAGGGGCAGGTTTAAGGTTTTGAACTGTGTGATTTGGTGTGATCAACTGTGATCCAGCTGTCTCACAGTGATTGCCCAGCAGGGGATACAGTAAGGTCCTGGCATGTCTCAGGGTCTCTGTTCCCAAAAAAGAGCCCCCAGAGGGCCTCTGTAATGATGTCCATTGGCCCAGGAGCCCAGGTAACTCTGCTCCTCTCTGCAAGGCAGTGACCCTTACCCAGCTCATCCCAGAGCTGCCGGCACTTCTCTGTTATGCCTGTCCCCTGCTGCCTCCAGAGGGAAAGCCGAGGATCAGCCATGAACTGCTCTGTTATCAGTGTCAGCATCCTGGCCCCGTTGGAGTCCCTCATGCGCAGCATCTCCCGGACCTGGAAAGGACAAACAGAAAGTCTTGGGTGAGAAAAACCGTGGTTCCTCAAAGGTGTTTAAGACACATTCACCTGGCTGGCAACCCACAGCTTCCTCAGCCTGAGGGTTCAGACTGTATGTAAATACATACATACATACATATGTGTGTGTGCGTGTGTGTATAATGGACAGTCACACACTATAACCCTCATGCAATGGCTGTCATGAGGCTGACTGGAGCCCAGTTGAGCAGCAGCCACAGCCAGGCTGTGAAGGAGACTGAGATTATAAACATGAAAGCAAAGCCCTTCTGCAAAGAAAGGCCCATAGGTTGGTGAGATCTGTGGGTTATGGTTCCACCTTCCCATGGTCTTGGTAGGCTCTGCAGGGTTGGCTTTTTCCCCACTGCGCTGAAGAGGAGATGGGGGAATGTCCTTCCTTGCACAGGGATCACAGCACCCATGGGAGGAAGGGACCTGCCAGGACAGCAGGTGAGACAATCCAGGCCTGACCCAGAGCCTGGATTACAACTGCCTGCTCCGCGACAGGGCGAGAAGGCACTGGAGCACAGATTCCCAGCTGTGATGGGCACCCTGCCAGGGCAGCCAGCGAGTGCCAGCTACGTGACAGGCTGAGCAGAGATGGGAGAGAGCAGCCGGCTCCTCACCTTGGCAAACATGGAGTTGAGCTGCTTCCCCGAGCCGTAGTACCCTCCCTGAGATAGGAACAGCTTCACCTGCTCTCGGACCTGCTCCTCGTCCAAGTGCCAGCAGTTCTCGTCATCGATGCTGGCCCCAGCAGTGGGGTCAGGAGCGCCTGAGAGGATGGGGGGAGAAGAGAGACAACCATGTTTATGGCACCAGGGTCAGCTGTCCCACTAGCAAGGAGTGCACCTACCTCTGTTTTATTAGGAACCCACCTTTACTTTATCAGCTCAGGTGACAGAAAGGCAACTTGATTCCTCAGTGAGCCCAAGTGGCAGCACTGTGCTGTCCTAACACAGTAGTGGCAGCAGCCATCAGGAGGGATATCCTGACCACAGGCCTAATTCTTGCATGACCCCTCACCCTCTGCACCCCATGTGAAATGAGGCTGAGGAAGACCAGGGACCTGCCTTCCTCCAAAGCCCCAGGAGTGCAGGCAGCACAGCTGCAGAGCCTGCAGCACTCTGTGGCTCCAGGGAGTGCCCAGCATGCTCCTGCTCCACATCACCGGTTTGTTAAAGCATCAGTAAAGCTCCAATTCCTGCAAGCCCTTCCCCATGTCTGGAACACAGTCTAACAAAGGTACTACTGCACTTGGGCTCCAGAGCCCTGGGTTAAACACCTGGTCCTGCCCCTCACTTGCTTCAGGACAGGAGACAAGTCCCCAGGCATCAGTGTACCTGCCTGAGAGAGACCCTCCGTGGGAAAGAACAAAGGATCAATAACCCTTCAAAGAGCAAACTGTGACCAGAGCAGGGCCTTTGGCAGGCACATATATGCATTCACAGGCTGCATTTCATCTTCCAGAGAACAAAAGAAAGAAAGAAAATCCACAACTGATTTAAACAAGTTGGACCAAATTTCCCTCACCTTGCCCCTTTTGATTCCAATTTTCTGCCCAAGCACTCCCCTACATCCCAGCCATGGGTTCCAGGGCTCACAGGACATGCAGTAGCACAATTCCAGTGAGCAGCCAAGAGCACAAAATGGAACAGAAAGTTGTATTTTCAGCTGTCTGCTTTTGGGTCTTGCTCTACAGAAACTCCTTAGGGAAAACCAGTACCAAGGAGGGACTGCTGCAGCTGGAGGATGTTCCACTCCACCTTAGTCTGCTTCTCCTATCTCCATTTCAAGAGAGGAAGGTCAGCACAGGAAGAGCAAGGTGCTGCATGAGGAGCCATGGGATGCTGTAGCTGACACATTCCCAATTAAATCTTCATGATGCCTTTTCCAAAACTGGGATTTGTTGGGGAGCAGACATCACTTTCCTATAGAGACAGCCTGGGATGCTGTGCACAACCCAGCCTTGTGCATTGCTGAACCAGGAGCTCAAATACAATTCATGAAAATTGTGCTCCAGGATGCCTGCTCAGCAGGGCAAGTGTCTCTTCCTGGCTTGTAAGCAAGACATCATCAACCTCAGGGGTTCTGCTCCTCCAGCAGGCTGAGAACACTCCTGACCTGCTAAGATACAGTTATTTGTATTTAATGTCCTTTACAAAATTACTTTAATTTCTGCTAACGGTCACTGCCTGAGAGAAGTTCCAGCAAGCTCTAGGCATGCTGAAGGGACAGGATGCTGCTGCTCCCTCTGCAGAATAATTTATAGTTGACACAACCACATAATTGGGACGAGAGCTGAAGCAGCAGAAAGGAAATCACAGCTCCTGGATGAGCATGAGGACTTTTGCCACATATGCCCTGATCCTGATCCCACTCCCCTGCCACAGCCCTGGAGAAGCAGTTAAACCACGAGCCCCCAGCAAGGGCGAGTCCTGCTCAGTGTACCACCAAAGTCAGCTCAGAGTCCTGTCTTAAGCCACGAGGGACAAGCACAGCCAGGGACAGGGACAGTCCATGCCGGCCCTCTGAGCTTTTCTGTGCCTTTTCCTTCCCTCCCCCAGCCTCATCCTTATCTCGCAGATAAAGAGCAGACAAGCCGGTGATTATCCCCTATCAGGAACCGATGACTAATCTGTCTACCATGAGCGCTTATCCGGCCCCATCGCTAGGTATCCCAGACGCTTGCACTCTTAATATCCTCCTCCCGACCATCCTGCCCGCCACTCCCAGCTGCAGCCATCCAGAGCAGCCTCGACTGCCTCTACAGGGTCACCTGTCTGTCTACAGGGACTAGGAGGGCATGGTCACCTGGAGTGACCCATCCCACCAAAGCTCAGCTCATCCCTCATCCCTCGCCACGGCCGTGGCCGCTGTGGCAGATTAAGGAGGAGGAGGAGGTCACAAAATGTAAAAAGTAGGTGCGTTCTTTGGGGGTTCCCGGGGCTACCCCGCCGTGCCTGCTGCTCACACGTAGCGTTAGCAACGGAAAGCCCGAGCAGCGAGGAAGGGAGTGTGCAGCTAAATAAAACCTCCTCCTCCCACGCAACACATTGAGCACTTCGCACGTTGGGGTTCGGGCCGCAGCCAAATTAGCAACGCGCCTCCCGCGCCTCCAAATAAAGCCCGAATTTGCTTGTAAATGTATTTTTCTCTCCTATAAAAGATTCAGAGAGAGGGCTGTAATAGCGAATTCCCACACGTGCAGCACAACCCGGCAGATAACGGGCTGCCCAATTACGCTGGGGAGCTGAATAAACATTTAAGAGCAAACAACGGGATTTGTGCTGGGTTTAAATATTAATGGCAGGATTTGTCCACTTCCCCTTGCCAACGTTCACACCGTGGGGGCTTCGGCAGCGGCACGCCGTGACGCAGCTGATGAGTGATTCCATGTCTCAGCTCCAAAGGAGCTGGGAACGGCATGTAAAACAGCCCGGCGCCTGCATAACACATTTCTCATATAGCAGCATTCGTGCTCCAAAGAGCCCTGTTTCAGACGTGCTGGATCTTGGTCCTGCCGGATTCGGATTTAAGGAAACACCATAGCACATCTTGAGTGGAAAGAGTGTTTCACCAGCCCGTTTACACTGGCTGTAGAAACTGAGATAAAAATGCAATCCATCATACCCCAAGCTGGGCTCCCCCCTCACTGGGAGCTCGGGGGTTTAACTGTTTGACAGCCAAGTGAGACTTGGCAAATACAATGACTGAGGAAAAAGGACTGGAAAAATCTACAAATTAGAAAACAGAGTGAAGTCAGGCATGGAAAATTCAACTCCTTGCTCAGAAATTAGCTGCCCAACATGAAGAAAATGAAAGGGGCTCCTGGAACGGGAAGCTGCATGTTTCCAGGACTGAGGAGGCAGTAGGACCTTGTGGGTCACGCCAAAGCATTGTCCCAAACCCAAGCTCCTGAACCCAAGAAGGGGAGATACATCAGCTGAGTAGTGTGGAAAGCACTCCCAGGACATCTGACCTGAAGCAGGATTGGTGATACAAAGAAAAAGGCTTGATCATAATTTTTAACCAGTACCTGGAGCTGATAAAGTGATGCTAAAAGCCACCCAGTGATAAGGGTGGCTGCTCCAGCATCTCCCTTATGGTCATTTCACCCGACTGTGCCCAGCACCCATCAGTGGTTTGGGGCCTGGCCGTGTCAGCCCCGGGGTCAGTGGTGCCTGGAGCAGGGCTGGCTGTCGTGGTGGCCATTCACAAGGGCCATCTCATGACTGCACATGGTGGTGTTGCTGAATGCCTCCAGGCTCCTCTTCAGCGTCCAGAGAGAAAACAGATGTGAAGGATCAGCTCAGGGCGGGGGGTGGGGAGGACATGGACAAATAAGCAAACGGCAGAAAACCTTGAAGAGAAAATAACCAGGCACCAGAAAGGAAATGAACTCTAACAAGGGATTAAAAATAGCAGCAAAGCAAGGAATCCAGCTCTGCCAAGACTCCCAGTTCGTTTTCAAGTGGAGGCAAGTCAGAGCGAGCTGCCAGGGCAGCCTGAAGATTCACATACACCTGACAGCACCGGGACAAGGGAATCCAGACTGGCTCCCAGCATGGTGGACAGGAGCAATGTGGTCCAGCTGGTACCAGTACCTGGTGCAGCCAACTTTGGAAGCTGCTTGTCAAGAATCACTGGTGCTCTGGAGTAGTTTGGCAACCCCAGTCACTCTGCAAGACAAGGGGAAGAGCTGCCTTTCTCTCCAGCACTCAGGTGTGTTTTTCCCCTTAAATCCATCACAGCTCAGCAAACAGGAACATGAATGCCCTGGAGATCTGACCTTCTCCTCCTCCCCTGTGGGAAGGCAGAATTTCGAATAGATTTACTGGTGCTGCCCTCCAGACGCTGTCTCGAGATGACCTGAAAGTCAAAGAGTGCCTGAGGACTCCTCAAACATCAGCCTTGGCTCGGTGTGACAGGACAGGCAGGGACTTCCTGCACACTGACCTGGCAGCCAACTCACTGCACACAAGGAGCAAGGTGGGACAGTATTAGCCCAGGAGTTGAAGGAAAGCTTAAGGTGGTCAAGAATGCATGTAGGGAAAAAGGGAATGGATGAGCCAGCAGGCTTCTTATGGCTCTTGCATAAGGAGATCTGCTTTTCCCATACCAAAGCCTGAGGGACCATTACCTTTAAGGGTTTTCCAAAAGTCCTCTCCTCCAAGAAAGCTCCCAAGACCCTGCAGGACCATGGAGGCCTCTTGGTGATTTACATGGCTTGTCCTCAGAGGGAGCTGCCCCTGCACCTTGTGACAGCAGAGGTTTTGTGGCTTTTCTCACTTCTGGTTGAGAAGAGCATCCCAAGCCCTTTGATGGCACCAGCTGAGCACCACAGATACAGCACCATCCACTGGCATTTCCATGGGCCAGACAGACCACCTCAGCCACAACTCCTGGACAGAGGGCAGCAGCACCCTCTCCCATGTCCACATGCTGCTCAAGCTGGGTGAGTTACAGAGCTGCAAACACGGAGTCTGCCAAAATCTCCTGCTCCTTATGCAAGGAAGGGGGAGAATTCATCCGTGATGCATGAAAGGTACCTCGAAGCCCCAAATCTGGGCCCACAGGCACTGTGCCATCTTTAAGCTCTCAGAAGAGTGAAGGGAACAGGATGCCAAGGTGGCCACCACCAGATGATCCTCATTCCCATGGAGTCCCAGCTGTTGGATCCAAGCCCTCCAGCTGCAGCTTCTGGCTGCCCCCAGCATTCTACCCACCAGGAGAGACCAAGCAGCCACGAGTCACTTTTGCTGGCACAGTGCAATCCTTGCAGCCTTGCTCTGTGCCAGGCAGCCACACTGCTGGCTTTGTCCCCTTGGGGAGGAGCATTGAAACCTACCCTGGTCCCCTCCCTCCAGCTGCCACTCCAGACGCCAAGCATGGAGGTGCCAGACACGGGAGATGCTCTCGCTGGCACACGCTGCCCTTCGCAGCCAAGGCACAGGAGCAGAAACGTGACCCACTTCAGCAGGCAGAGGTCAAGTGGGGAGCAGAGCTGCAGGCACACCTAGGCTCTGCTTGGCCTGAATCCTCCGGGAACACGCAAGCGCCTTGGCTGCGCTCCAGGACTCCATCATTACTGGATAGTTTGCATTTCCTTCTAGGAAGACAGCCGGGAAGATCGGCACGCGGTGCACAGCCCACGGCTACAGACTCCTGCAAGGAACAAAGCTCCAGTGCCCAGAGCTGAGCACGCCAGACAATGGACAGTAATTTTCTCTGCCATTCAGGCTCTGCAGGAGAGGGAGCATCCCTGAAAGCCTTATTTTACAAAACCAGACAATCCTCTTGCACAAGGGGCATTCCCCAGCCAGCCTGGTGCAAAAACAGCTCCTCAGTCCTACAAGCTTGCCATATAAATAAGGAAATAGGAATCCTTTGAGTGACCAGAGGCAGGTGAGGAAGACCTGATGCTGATATGAAGCTCAACAGACCTACCCTCAAAAGAAGGAGGGGCAGGGAAAAAGGAAGGATTTCCAGAAAGAACATTCTTGCTCCAGGGTGTAATAACTTCAGGTGCCCAATGCACACAGTGGGTTACTGTTTGGGTTGCACAAGCTGGCCTGCCAAAAGACACCTTGGCCCCAGCCACAAGGCTGGGGTATGACCCCAAGGGTCTGAAATGCACATGGTCAAGAAATGCACATAAAGCTCTACATAGAGCACAGCTTAAAGAATTACAAATCCCAGGATCAGTGACCCACTACAAATGCATGATTGACAGCTGGGAAGGGCAAGATGGTGGACAAATTTGGATCCACTTCACCTGGAGACCCTAGAACTCCTCTCCCACAAACAGACCCCCATGGCTGCAGCCCTTCCTCACCCTGGGGTCAAGCAGGTCTGCAGTGTAGTTGGTTGCACCGTGGCTATTCTTCTGGCAGGACCAAGAGGGCAACACTTGCAACACTGTCTGGGATGAAGAATCGAAGCCCTGGACAGCATCACTATGAACTTGAATGTGAGGGGTTTGGAGCCTTCCTTTTCACAGGAAGCAACATTTATGAGCTATAGATCACCTTAAGAGTATGTCAACATATGAAGGCTGATCTGCATCCTTCCCAGGGGAGACAAGGCTGCTCTCCAGCTTGCAGGTGTTTACACACTTGTGACCAGCCAGGCAGCCACAGGGGTGTCAGGTAGGTGCCACCCTCTGTGGGGTGACCACGTCTCTGTTGGTTTAAAATCGCACACTGGAGTGCGTAAATTTGCACCAAGTTTGAAGGGAGTGAGAATTTTTGCTTTGTTTTTTTTTTTTTAAGCCACTTGTAAAAACAAGAAGCAGATATTGAACTGGAGCCAACATCTGTATCTTTGTAAGACTCTCAACCACCAGCCTTTTGCTGACTCTAGAACAATAAATATTCAGAGCCTTAAAAGCTTTACTTCAATCTGCTTAGGAGAAAGCAGCTTCAAACAATGGCCAAGAAGGGATCTTGCCCAGCCTCAGCTTCAGTAGATCAGTTCAGAGAGGGAATGGCCCTCACCAGATCCTTGCAGCATCACAGCTCCTCATTCTTTTACAATTCCAAAAATTGAAGGCCCCCCTGCAAAAGCCAGTTAGTTAGAGCACAACCACCCATGCAGCACATGTGGCCCAGCAGAGGAGACAAAGACCTCTCCCAAGGTAGGAACAGGAACTACCAGATAGAGAGAGATGAACACATCTAAGATCAGAGCTGCCATCACCCCCATGGTGACGGTGAACCTCTGGCCTTACTTCTCTACATGTGGATTCAACTAGTTCAGATGGTATTTTAGGCTGCATATGGGGCTTTTCATCTTCAGAACACTTAATAGGCACGTGTTAATCCCTGCAACGCCCTTCCGTGGCAGATAAGTGTTTATTATCTCTGCTCTACAGCTGGTGGGACTGGCACAGCAGGGAGCTGCTCATTGTTGCAGACCCTGGGCAACTTCAGCTCCTGGGCTCCTTGAAAAGACACTGTGGGAGATCCCCAGGAGCCTGGGCCACATCCTGGGCCAGTGGAGCAGGGCTGGGCTGGGCACTATCCCCCAGATTTTCAGGGGAGGAAGTCAAATGCATTTTCCAAACACAAAGCCCCAGGACACATCTCCACTGCCTTTGTGCAGTAGGTAAGAACAGCAGCGCTCATTTATTATGGGCAAATTAACGCCCATGGAGATTAAAGCTTTATCTCCCACCAGCCCAGCCACATCCGACTTAGTGCAGGGCTCAGGCTGACACTGTGTCCCCATGTGCTGGAGGAGCCACATCCCCACTTCACCTCCCTCTCCACAGGGTCCCAGCACCACATCCTCGGCTTCTCCATTCTACTCTGAGCTTCACCTTGTTCACTACCAGCCTGTCAGCTCTGCCTCTTCCTGCCTGTTGAAGCCCATGTTTGACACACAAACACATAAAGAAGAGGAGAGGGCAGGCTGGGGACACCCCAGCCATGTGGTCCCAACACCCATGCATTAACATCAGTGTGACACTTCCAGCTCTTTTCTGTGCAGCAAAAGACAAATGTAAAATGAAGGACACCGCCATGGGCACCAAAACCACCACCCCAGCCCAACCACAGAGCAAGGGTCACACAGTGAGGAGGGAGGAATTACCGTGCACTTGGTTGATCTCAGAGTTGGATGACAGGATCTCATCAGCCAACTTTTGGGCGGTGGGCAGCACCTCAGTGTGGTGTGCTGTGATCAAATACTGAACAAACTTCTGGAGCTGGTCCCTGTTCATCTGGAAAAGGGTCTCTGAGATGGGAAGACGGAGTTTGACCTGGTCTGGCTTGCGGATCCTGTACAGTGAAAGCGCCACGACGTGAGCGCAGTAAAAAATGTCCTTGTTCCCACAGCCGCACGTCACGGAGGTGATTTTGCAGCGGTCGAAGCTGATGGCCACCTTGTAGGTCATCTCTGGTTCTGTTGCAGTCGCTGGCTCCGTTACTGTTCCACTGAGGTGGAACCCTGGAGAGGGAAAGAAGAAGAGAGAAAGGTCAGGTTAGCTTCCATCTGACCACAACCACCCATGGCAGCTCTGGCAGGAAGGAAAGCCAAGACTGCTCGCGTTTCTCTCTCATATAGCAAGGAGTGCAGCACCCAGCACAGCCCATCCCCGTGGCTTACACCCAGCAACACCCAGCCCGTGTATACAAACACACTTCTGCACCAACACACACACACACAGCCAGATTCATCGGCGAGTTTATTTAACAGCCAAACCCTCAGGGGAAGAGCAAAGCTGCTCGATTCCCATTTGTTTAAGTATCTCAGACTGTTTCTCTCTTGGGAGTCATTTCCATCCACGCCTCCCTCTCGCTGAATTTGCAACTCACATGAGTGAGGGCTGGTAGAAAAAGACCACGTTTGCTTTTCTTTGATGAGGCAGACAAAAAAATCCACAAACTAAATGCAAAGCAATTTCAGCTTTGGTCTCTCAACCAGGTAGAGTGCTCCAGGGCATGGTCACAGCTCTGAGCCCTTCCACACAGTGGAAACAAAGAGCAGGGACAGGAGCTGTGCACAGTCCAAACCACAGCTGGGGGAAAACCATTCACTGAGTTCCACAAATTGTTCACACCAATGTTACAGTGCTCCTGACAGTTCCCACCATGCAGAAAGGGGGAGCAGTGCCTTCAGGCATAAAGTGTGAAAAAAAGCCCCCAGAAGTACCAAACACAGGTGAGGAACATGAAATGCGCTCAGAAAGTCCCATGGGTCAAAAGAAACGTGGATGTACCAAGCAAGTGAGGGACTAAGTCAGTGAGGTAAGACTGACTGATGGATGCCTATCAGCCTCACTTTGAATGGGAGCCTCAGGGAGTCCTTCTCATGATCCAGTTGCTGAGTGGGTTCAACACCAACACTCTGCACTTGCTCAGCCACCTGGAAAAGGGATATCTTTGTTTCTCACACTCATCTGCCTTGTTCCTCCAAGAGAGTGAGGGTGCACCAGGAGGTTAATTAACACAGCCAGGGCAATCTGGTGCCCCCATGTCAGAACATGGTGTGGGACCTGGCACCTCACAGTGCCCATCCCAGCCATCCTCCCTGAGGAAGATGCTCACTTTTCTCCGTGCCACTGCAACCTTATTAAGCCTGTGTATGTACAGGTCCCTGCAGAGCCTGCCATCCCCTCGGAGAAGGCAGCAGACAGCTGAGAGCCCTACAATTAGCGACAGAAAAGGAGAAGGGGTGGGGGGGTGAAGATTAAAATACATTAACTGCATCAAACCCTTGTGCGTTTGCCAGCTCTTACAAAGGCTTTCGGAGACAAATTCTACCAGAGGTTTTTAATAAATGGCATCAAAACCAGCTATTCACTGCCAGTCTCTTTAAAGCCACGCCAAAAACCACATTCAAATCTGATTAAGCGTCAAGGAGGTCTGCTTTTACTTTAGTGCCGGGGCGGGGGAAAAGCAGACCTGTTCTGCTGCCATCACCCAAAAGCCACCCCATGTGGCCAGCAGAGCAGGAGGGGAGGGATGCACAGCCCTGCGCTTCCCTCCCTGCTCACAGGCTGCTGGAGCAGGAGCAGCGTGGCTGTGGAGGTGCTGGGCTCGGCGCCGCGCGAGCAGCACGGCCAGGGGCTGACGAGCCTCCCCCTCCACACAAGCCCTTCCCCTGGCAGCCAAACTATATAAATCCAGAGGATAAACTCCAAAGTGTTTATGTTTTACCACTTCTCTGGTTTGCAATGCTTGGCAGGAGGCTCCGACTCACTGCCAGTTTCTCCCTAGTTTACTTTTTGAACAAGTTAAAGGGACTGGAAACCGCGTTCCTGAGCAAGTATGTACGTATAGCCTCATATGTATGCCTGCACACACATATATAAAACACTCTAGGACAAATTACTGGCCATAAACACTGCCTTGAAATGCTTACTTTAACACGATTGTGGGCCAGACCCCACTTGGGGCTAACTGGTGTAAGACTGGAGAAACTCATTTAACCAAATTATCTGTTTCAGACAGGTATAAGTCTGAAAAGATATCAACTGTGGTCTGATCCGGCCTCTCACGACAGACTATTTGTCCAGATATTCCTCAGGATATTCTCAGGCATCCCAAAAGCTGTGCTCTCCCATCTGCTCCAAGGGCTGCTCTTCACAATTCAGATCTGGTCTGCACATTGAACAGGACCATTCATTATGTCAACGACTGCCAAGTTCATCTGGCACTCAAGCCCCAAGTCAAGTGTTGGTTTAGATTTTAGCTGTGGTGACAGCAGGTCTGTAGGATAAACTAGGAACTCTACAAAACATTTATCAAAAGTTGAGTCAGAAATTAAACATGGAGGGGTGGAAGAGAGATGAGCTGGCAGGAACAGAGGCATTATTTGTGAATATTTACTTTAATGTGAGGTCAGACTGCAGCTACCACATTGCAGCCAAGTCGGCACCCCAGCACCATGGCTGCTGAGCACACGAGCTCAGCAGTGATGGGTATCACAGTCCCAGAGAAGAGTGGTGGCTAAAAGGTAGTTTTTGGTGTGGTTACTTCATCATCCATTGAAGCACACACTCCTGCTCCACACAGAACACTGATGCTATCACCAAAAAGCTATAGGTAGCCCTGGAAAAGTACAGCTCTCACTGTACCCTCCTCTCTGTTCATCTTGCATCCTGGAAGAAAGAAGCATCCTAGGAGCTGTGATATCAGCACTTCAACAGAGAGAAACACAGCCCTGATCACTGACATAAGGTCTGGATAGCACTGACAGCAAAGACATACTCTCCTCTGTGTCCCCCCGTACATTCAATTTAAGACATTCCTACAGCCCAGTGCTTATCTAGGACTTCATCTTCTGTTCTTAACATAAGCTAAATTAGTGTTTGATTTGCTGCCAGCAAAGTTACAGTGCCAAGGCTTGAAAACCATGGAAAATAAATAATTAAATACCATCTTTGTAACTGCAGACTCATTACACCCCTCTAGAGTCTAGCTTTGTCCCAAGATCTTCACCTTTTCCCTGCCCCAGAACACCCTCTCCTACTTTTACCACAGAAGCTTCCCAGTGGATGTCTCTTTGATTGAGCTTGTAAAAGGAGCTGACTGTTCATAACTGGCCCAGAAAAAGCACAGAAAGGTGCCATGAATGTTCACGGGCACACAGGGCATGATGAGCTCATCTCTTTCTAATCCCAGCCATCCAACCCATCAAATGGGGACAAAACTGGAGGAAGAACTTTCCTTGTTTTACTGCCACAGGACATTGCACCTCTGATTTAAATTAAAACAGATCCTAGAATTGTTTTCCAGGAGTTTGTGAGTTCCACATTGGTGGGACTTACTAACTTGTCATCTGGGCAGCACTCTCCTCTTCAGAGCTGATAAACCCTGCAGGCTGGGAGGAGGATGGATCCACAAAAAATGAAATAAAAATTCCTGGGCTCTCAAACAGCTACAAAGGATCAAGCCTTTAGCAGGGATCCCAATGCAGGAGACTTTGCTATTGGCACAACAGTATTAACACCTCAACAGAAGCATCTTTAACCAAGACGGTAAATTTTTTAATTTCTAAACCTACTTGACCAAAAGAAGTTGTGCAAACTCTTCCAGTAGTGCAAGACCAGAAAGCCTTTCAACAGGACATCTTTAACTCAGATATCCTTGTGCCAACCATCAGGAGAAACCACTAGCCTGTCCTGCAGCTCCAACCTACCATGAGGCCATCTGCAAAGACCCCTTGCTTTGTGTCCTTCAGCAACTCACTGAAGATAAAGCAAACATTTAGGCTGGTAATATTGAAATACCTGGAGTCTGGAGACAGGGAGATGCCCAGATGGAAATTTAAACCCCAAAAGCAAGCAAAACCCAGGCATAGCCCCTTCCCTTCTCATAACTGTGGCACCAACACTTGAAAGAGAGAGGAGGACTCCTCCACACCTACCACACTAGCTGGGAACCCGAGTGCTCAGCTCTGCTCCCTCTGGCAGTTGCTGCTCACAGCTATCCCTCAGATTTCACACTGCAGCCCAGACTGAAGTCACAGTTGTCATTTGCTAAGTTGTGCCATTCGGAAAAAATGAGCTCTTCCTTCCCAGGCGTGGCAGTCGCTTGTCTTTCCCGGAGTGTTGGCACAGTCCTGCAGGGGTGGAAAGCACCACAGAGCTGCAGCCACCTGCAGGACCTAACCCTGAGGATGCTGGACTGGCACTGCTGTGTGAGAGGATGATGGCCAGTAACACACAGGTAACGTGGGGAACATTTCTTCATGGCACTGTGGTTCTTCTGCCTCCTCACAGGCTTTTCTATGTCTTTGTGATAACCTTGAAGCAGGGCAAGGAACGGCTCAGTAGAGGGAAACGTGCACCACATCCATGCCCTGAGCATGGACCACTGGTGGGATGTAGCTAGACCACGTACATAAAGAACTCACAACCACACCTAGCTGTCAAAACCTTAAGTAACCTCCTCGTACCTGAGGCTGATATTTTGGGCAGCCTCTGTTAGGAGCCACGTGATGGAAAGTCCATCCACACAGCTTCCTGAAGGCACCAGCCACATCCCCTTGCATCACAGCCAGAGAGGGGTGGCTGTGGCTGACAGCAGCTTGGCTGCTCACTGCTCTTGTACTCTGTGCTCAGCTCCCAGGATTCTCCACCTCTAGCCAGACTAACCCCACTCCAAATCTGTGTTTGGGGAGCTCTGTCTTCAGGCAGGCAGGAGCTCTGTGAAACCAAATGGAAAAGAATAGATGGATATTTATGGGGCTCAGCAGATGTACATGAGGTAAACTGAAATTCTCAGTGCAAGTTGTGTACACTAGGTTAACGTGACCCAAATATGTTTTTTTAAAATTTCCAAACCACAGCGGAAAGTTATTTTAAACTAAAGTGATTCCAAGCTCTTTAGTGATTAAACGGACTGCAGCTCCAGCTCCTAGTGGAAAAACCATTTGTTTTTCCAGTGTGTGAAAGCCATAACTAGCAATGAATAATAATTGCCGCACCCGAGTGTTATTTA